GGCGGAGCCCGAGTCCCCGCCCCCAGAAGGCGGGGTCAGAACATCTCGGAAAGTGAAGGTGCCCCCCAAGGACCGGAGTGAGGAGCTGGATTGGCTCAGAGACAAACACATCCCCGCCCTGGACACTCGGCAGACGCAGTTTCTTCTCACCCAGGACAGATTCCCTTCTGCCTTTAAACATGCAATCCCCGCACAACTTTCACTGTGTACAGACGCACATCCAAATGGACACAATGATCAACAAGCACACAGTCTTCTAGAGAAGAGACTCCTGTGTAGATACACAGAAAGGCCCACGATCCTAAGGAATATACAAACGTGCAGAATCGCAGTTACACTAAACAAGGGTCAGACAGTCAACTGCTGTTAGGGACACATTTCTCACAAATCAGCGAAGGCTGTAACACGCACAAACAGCAAAACACCAGGAAGGACAGACGCAAGGATTCTGAATACTCTAAAGACGCAGAGCGGTGTGAGTTAATTTTGCCAAAAATACGTGAGTGGGTTTTGTGTTGATATTACATAAATTACAGAAATATGTGAGGAACTGAGCATGCTCATAATCATGACAGTTACATGGGCAAACCGGTAGGTGTTAAATGGACTGGAATCGGTTCCAGTTCTGCTGCTTCCAGGCTCTGCGATTGGGTCAGTCATGGTCCTCTCTGGCCTTGATTTCCCCATGTGCAAGATGGTTGGATGATCTCTACGGTTTTACCAGAAGATGTGTGGGGATGGGGAAGAATGGAGTTTCAAGAAATGTAAGTCAAGCAGGCTTCGTGGAGAGGGATAGTTCAGTTTCACCTTGCAGGATGGGGAAGGCTCTGTGCTGGGGTCTGTGATCAAAGCACAGTGCTTTGGGAACCGGGGGAAAGGAGAGACCAGTCCTAATTAGCAGCCATCAAAGGCTAGAGTGGTGACACGAGGGTCCTCTGACGCACCAAGCTTTGTGCAGTACCAATTAAAATCTCCTGTGAATTCCTACAGTGGATCTTTTCTTCTCTTTTGGGCCCCACCCAGCTTTTCATAAACCTGTGTTGATGACCTGACAACCCCTCCAAGGTGGGACGGCCCTCCCTAGTGACAGCACTGACAACCAGAGATTCTGATCCTGGTTCAGGCTGGGAGTCAAGGCTTTGGGATGGGATGGGGCAGTCACCCATAGTCAGCCCCATTCCCCTCTGGACACCTCCTGCAAGGGGGCCCCATTGGTCAATGAACACGGCCTGCTCTGTTTTCTTTACTGTTGGGGTGTGGAGAGACTTACATTCCCAGAGTGAGAGACAAGAATTGTTGCACCCAAGGCTTTGTCACATGCACACAAGCGCGCGCGCACACACACACACACACACACACACACACACACACACACAATGTGCTGCCTGAAAAGAACACTGGACTTGGAGAATTGCTGTGCTTAATACTAGTCCTGCCTCATTACTTGCTAGCTGTAAAATTGGGCCTATCACTCCATCTTAGAGCCTCAGTTTTATCACTAACAAAGTTCGGGCATTGTGCCAGAGATAAGTACAGTACAAGCTTTCCAGTCTTTCAGCTAAGCCCTCTAAAAGGGATATTTCCAGCTAACTCTCAGGGGTAATTCTCAAAATCAGCCAAGTCAAGGCATTTTTCATTTCTCTGGACTGTCTTTTCCCTAATTATAAAAATGAAGTCAGGCATGGTGGCATACACCTTTAACCCCCAGAATTCAGGAAGCTGAGGCATGAGGATCATTGCAATTTTGAGGCCAGCCTGGGATATATATGAGTTCAAAGCCAGGCTGAACTACATAGCAAGACCCTGTCTCAAAAAAAAAAGATTGGGCTGGGGGTGTGGTTCAGTGGTAGAGTGGTATAGTCCTTGCCTATTATGCCTGAATTCAATCTCCAGCATAGAAAAAGAAAAAGAACAAAAGAGGGAAAGGAGGGTGGTGGGGGGCTACTTCAGTGGTTCCCAAAAAGTGGGGATCATAAATTACGTGGAACATTTTTAAAAACATACATGGCTTTGTCCCACCCTAATTCACAGACTGTAATAATCTTGAATACCCAGACACCTAAATACTGTACACAAAACTTGAGATCTAGAACTGTCACCCACGAGTTTTGAATCAGTGCTGACTTACCCGATACACAAGTGAATCACGTACATGGCCTCCCCACTCCATGCTGGTTATTATTTGTTTGCTCCCCCACCACCCCAATCCCTGCGTGGTCATTCTCCATCCTGCCCAGGAGCCTAGACTCTAAGGTTTATAGCATCAGGGCTCCCCGGGTCCTGGCTTCTAGCTGAGTTCAGCTCACGAGAGTCAGGGTATCTAAGGATGGGTGAAGTGCACGGCCCGGGCAGAGGAGCTGGCAGTTCTAGAGGCTCTGATTCTCTGTGGCCAGCTCTGGACTCACTGCTTACTCTTCCAGGCCTGGGATGGCAGGGATCTTCCCTAAGACAGGTCTCTTTAACCCTCCCCACATTTCTGCAAGTGGTTGTTGAATTCTTTTCACTTAAATTCTTTTTAACTGAGCATTTTTAAATTTGGTTTAGAGGCTTTTTTTTTTTTTGGTTCTGGAGAGCAAACCTGGGACTTTGCATTTTTGAGACAGACGGTGGAACCACTGAGCTAAACCTCCAGCCCAAAGATGGCTTTTTTTTTTTTTTTTTATTTTCATAGGTAGCCTTTATCAAATTGAGATAAAGGCCATCTATTCCAGTTTTCTGCAGAGTTTTCATTTTGAATGGGTTTTGAATTTTGTCAGATGGCTTTGTGGCATGTATTTAGATGGTTTTTTTTTTTTTTTTTTTTTTTTTTTTGGTACTGGGGATCGAACTCAGCTCCTTGCACTTGCAAAGCAGGTCCCGGAACCACTGAGCTAAATCACCAGCCCCCTCACTTAAATTCTTGAGCTGCCAGCACCCTGATATAGGCACCAACAAATAAGAGACAATCACTACTCCCTTCTCCAAAGGAAAGAATTTATCCTAATTCCACTCATTCATTGGAGTATGATTTTTGTCTGCTTAAAAAAATAAAATGTAGGGCCAGGGATTTAGCTCAGTGGTTCTGCCACCTGCCTTGCAAACACAAGGACCTGAGTTCGATACCTGGTACCAAAATAAAATAAAATAAAATGTACTACTCAGTGTTTTTATTTTAGATAGCACATTGCAGGGGACTGGGATACAGCTGCCTGAAAATTGGCATTCCTTCCTTTCTGTACCCCAAATAACCTGCTAGCATGGTCCTTTTCACACAGTTTTGCAATTTTCTCTGTCCTCGCTCATCTTCTCTGTAAGACTGTGAATGCACGCGTTCATTCGTCCAGTGTTTCCTGTGCGCCTCATATGTGCTAACCACGGAGATAGGTGCTGGAGTGTAAAATATGGAGTAAAACAGGTTCTGGCCTCACTTCAGGCAGGCGAGTGAACAGGCGAGTAGGGCAGCGCATGAAATAGTTGAGGGGTGAAGGTGTGGCACAGGGGACATCAAAGAGCCATCAGGAGCGAGCATTAGTCACACCGGACACAGTTGGAGAAACCGAGGCTCAGTCTTCAAGGGTGAGTCATCTCCTTTAATCAGACATCTGTGGCTGTAACATCCTAAACATATCATATATACGAATAAAGCACAGAGACGCCCTGAGTTCCATGAAATAGCTATAGTACGGGGAGTGGGAATGGAGAAGCCAGAGAAGCAAGCATGAGCCAGGACGGGAAGGGTCTTGACTGTCCTACAAAGGAGATTGGAGTTGACCTAGTAGATGACACTAAGCCAACCGTCTTCTGTTGCTTAACTTCATTGTTTGGGCCTGGCTCTCACATAGCAGACAGGTGGAAAAGACATAGAAAGGTGACCAAGCATTACTCTGCACTTGGCTTATTTCTTCCCGGTGGGCTTCTCACCCAGTGGCCTCCTCTATCTCTGACCCCAGTAGCTTTGCCTTGCTCAGTTTGCCCCATTCAGATCTGTTATCAGCTCTGAACTGTTTGCCTTATGCCTGACCAGGTGCTGGTTCACAGCTAACTTCTCTGTGTCTATTTCAGAGGCCCAGAGCACTTCCAACTGGCCCTTACTCCATTACACTCCTGCAGCGCCAAGGAGGAAACTGGACATGCGGATGAGGGTGTGAGAGGTCAGGGGTTCTGACAGCACTGCGGGGAGTGATGTTGTTAAACGTGAGGAGTCGGAGGTGTTTGAGAGCTGGACATACAGCTCTAGAGCTCAGGCTCAGAAGTGAAGACTGGGGTGTAGATCCGGAAGCCACAGACCTCCCGAAAACTGTGTCGATGTGATTAACCCAGAAGTCTAGAGGGAAGGATCAGACAAATTCTTGGCGGCAATTACATGTAAGGGAATGATTTTTAAAAAGAAGGAAAATAAGGAGAGAGACAAACACATAGGTTAAATGATAGGCTGAGGGCATAT